TGAAAGCCATAAATAAGGTAACGTAACCACCCTGGGCAGAGAGCCCGGCTCTGTGAAGTCAATACCTGATCCTCTCCTTTTCGCCCTCCTTCCTCTTTTTGGATCTTTGTTGCTTTTCTTTCTTCCTTCGTGAGAGCGAAGCTGTTCCGTGTGTAAGGAAGAGACAATCTGTGGGGCCGTGTGCTCCACAGAGCGAGAGCAGCGCTGGCCCAGAACCCGCCCCAGCCAGGGCTCAGCCGGTTCCCCCAGGGCCGTGACACAGCTTCAGGCTCCTACCGGAATGTCTGGGGTGGGGTCCCCCTGAGTCAGCCCAAGCATCCCCCTCGGGTGCCCAAACCCTCCCTCCTCCACAAGGACCCCCAGGTTTGTAAGCATAAGCCCCTACTTTTCCTGATGACCCCAAGCCTGCACTTCTCAGAGGTCAGTCTGGGGTCTTGATTTCGTTCCTGACACATAATGATGAGAACTAAGCAACAGTGAATGTTCTCAGCTCTTGTTATTTCCAAGGTTCAGATTTCCTAACAATTGTTCTCTTATCAGGACAACAACTTACAGAAAAATGATCCAACCAGGCAACCGGGAACATGGATCATAGAAAAATTTGGCCCCAGAAAGCATTTAGGTTCAGTCCTTTGTTGACACCCATTGGAAGGCAGCGTAACAGAGGGGTGGGGAGCGCTGGGCCACGATCCCAGGAGGAGAAGGCACCAGATGCCGGGCTCGCAGTCAAAAAGGAGGCTGGTTAGAGGGCGGTGTGAGGGGGGGCTCCCTGGCTCAGAGGTAAAGAAGGCAGGGAGAGCCTGGCTGGTGTGGCTCAGCGGTTGAGCGTCGACCCAGGAACCAGGAACCAAGATTCTAGGTCAGGGCACACACTGAGGTTGAGGGCTCTATCCCTAGTAGAGGGTGTTCAGGAGGCAGCCAATCGATGATGTTCCCTCTCTCATTGATGTTTCTATCTCTCTATCCCTCTCCCTTCCTCTCTGTCTCAAAAATATATCTATAATAAAAGCATAATATGCTAATTAGACTAGACGTCCAGTTCCGGCAGCCAGGGGAAGGAAGGCCTACTCTTGAATTTCATGCATCAGGCCTCTAGTCAATAAATAAAAAATCAATAAAAACATATTTTAAAAGAATGCAGGGAGAAAGAGAAGGGAAAGGGGGAACAGGTGACCTGGGACGCACCGTTTGGGACACTAGATAATGAACAAGATCACTCGTGGCCACTGAGCTAGAAAGCCAGCTCGTGCCGGAGGTCAGACCTACTCAGCACGGTGAGGTTTCTCTGGTGTGGTCGCACGGTGGACACGTTAGCACCTGTGGCTTACCTGAAGCCACGGGACATGGGACTGTCCCGTTTTAAATCAAAGAAATCAACACCAATATTTGAGAAAATGGCATACCAAACACAGATAAATCTTCAGGATCCACAGACCGGGCCCATGGGAAGTAATACTCAGCCAAAGGAAGTCTGAAAACCACCGAAATGGAACAAGAGCTGCATTTCTCTGAGAGCAAACTGGGCTGGCACGGAACCGAGGACTCCGTTCAGATTGGGGGAGGAAGCGCTCGCGTAATAAATCTGGGCGAGTATGTTTTATTGTTATAAAGTAATTAAGGTCCTGAACAGGCTGTCTCCTTACATTGAAAGGTGCATTTTGTCTCTGGAGAAATGTCAGCAGAAAACAGGATTTACTGTGCTGTTAAAAGTGAGGGAAAACACATTATTGGGAACGTGAGGGGCAGGAGTAGGAAGTGAGTGATGTCACACACTGGGCCTGATGCATGTCTCCGGGGCAAACTGGCGCCCGTCCATCTCCTGTTATTCCCTGCCCTCACTCTGACCCTCCAAACAGCCAAGGAGCACCCACTCCCAGAATTGTTCCCTATTAATTCTTCCCACTCAACACTGTTCATATGCAGCTTCCTCTCCAACAACTTGAAATACTTCTGTGAGTTTTGCCTAAATATTTTTCCTCATTCCCATCGATTTGGCTCCGAATGTCCCTTTAGTAAGGCAGGCAAATGGCAGAAACACAGAATCCTAAGTATTGCCTCATTTGGTGCCTGTTTTTGTTTTATTGGGGGGTTAGGGGAAGGATAGGAGGGGAGAGAAAAAGTCAGTCCCCATTTCAGAATCCTGGGTTTTGCCAAGTAAATGTCACTTTTACCAGAACCTTATTTCAGGGGCTCAAGTTTGAACCTTAACATCCTCCTCTGACGGTACCTCCCAAAATTCTTATCCAAGGTGCCACTGCTTCGTGCAATAGAACCAAAGAGAGAAGATCTGCATTTTGTTTAGAAGCCAACGATCCAGAAGCATGGATACTGAAAGATTCTTCTTAATTTCTCATTTTGTTTCTAACGTGTATTGTGGCCAGGAAAAGAAGAGGCATTCAAATAAATTCCTTTGTAGATTTAAGATATGATGAAAGGGATGGTGAGTAAGAGAGAAACCAAGAGGAACTGACTTAGGGTAATCACATCTCTTACAAATAAATATATCCATAGATGCAAATAAATGTGTACACACATGCATTTATATATGATGACAGACTAAACTGACAAGGAAAACCCTTCCCTCCTTCCACTATTCAGCTGGTAAAATGTACATTCCTGTTGTAATACAGAGCCCAGCTTAAGAGAATGAGACGTGTCCATAAAGGAACAAAGAACTGAACTCACAGTCTGAAATGTAAGCGTTAGGGGCTGGGAGTAGGGACAGGAACGTGGCCTTGCGTGCGGGCGCAGGAGACCACCTAGAGCGGGACTGCTGCACCAATAAGGGCAGAGAACACCCAGGCACAGTGTCACAGTGGGTTTCACTATCACAAGGCGAGAAAACAACAGGAAAGGCCGAACCACTGCTATCACTGTGGAGCTGGCCTGGAAACCCACCGACACCCTGGGGCACAGAAGCAACCCTTGCTACAGACGAGGTCACAAGGCTACACACCCCACCAGGAAGCAAACCACCATGGGAGGCGGGGCAGTCAGTAGAGGCAGCTAACAGAAAAATTAGCATCTTAAGAACTCAAGAGTCCTAGCTGGTTTGGCTCAGTGGATAGAGCGTTGGCCTGCAGACTCAAGGGTCCCAGGTTCCATTCTGGTCAAGCACATGCCTGGGTTTGTGGGCTCGATCCCCAGTAGGGGGCGTGCTGGAGGCAGCGGATCAATGATTCTCTCTCATCATCGATGTTTCTATGTCTCTCTCCCTTTCCCTTCCTCTCTGAAATAAGTTTAAAAAAGAATAGGCAAGTTTTGAAAAAGAATCAAAGGAAACTTCAGAAATGAAAAGTATAGTCAATGAAATTAGAAACTCGATAGGCATGCCCTGACTGGTTTGGCTCAGTGGATAGAGCGTCGGCTTCGGACTGAAGGGTCCCAGGTTCGATTCCGGTCAAGGGCATGTACCTTGGTTGTGGGCACATCCCCAGTGGGGGATGTGCAGGAGGCAGCTGATCGGTGTTTCTCCTTCATCGATGTTTCTAACTCTTTATCCCTCCCCTTCCTCTCTGTAAAAAATCAATAAAATAAATTAAAAAAAAAAAAAAGAAACTCAATAGGCAAACAGATTACAGAGCTCAGAACAGAATCTGTGCGATGAACCCAAGGCAGTTACTGAGAATGCAGCACAAAGAATCCTAAACCATATGAAAGAGGATGGGCTCAAAGTAGTCGAAGAGAAATCCCAGAGGGAAGAACAGTGAATGGAGACGAAGTAATATTAGTCAACAACATAAGAACATCCAAATTTTTTTTTTAGTGAAGAAAAGCGAGAGCCAAGCAAGAGGAATAAAAACAAATCTGAGTAAAAACAGTGGTGAAACAACAATAATCGGAGACAAAATGCAAAAATGGGGTGGGAAGTCATGCTTGTTATAAAATAGTTCACTAACCCAGCAATGCAGTTTTCTATGCTGTGTTTGCTCGTAACTCTGTTGATAGGGAGACACATGTAACGCACAGAGGCAGTGGCTCTGACCCGCAACGTTCTGTGGGGAGAGCCGCGGTGCCGCTCGCTTTCAGAGACGTCCTTTTAGTCTCATCTGTCCATCTGAATCGTCTCAACAATCTACTGCCCACACATCCAAGGGCCCAAAACGGATCCTGGATTTTTTACTCAAAATTTCACTAGTCTTTACTACTCTTCGGTATCACAGCTGCCAATTTTTCTTAATTCTTCACTAATGAAAGTGTCATGGTTTTTCTAAAACATAATTTACCAACGATCAACGTAGAGCAAATTCTGATGACAAGAACCCCATCTTGTGGCAAAATGTTTCGCAGGGAAGCCTGGCCCCACACCACGCTGCCATTCTCGCTGTGAAGATGAATCTGTGTGAGAAGTTATCGTTTTATCTGCTTCACCGACGGAATTTCTAACCCAGCATTTATCTGAGTCTGTGAGGGCACCAGAGGATGCAGTAAATCTGCAGAGCACAGTGATTCTGGGACTCTGAGTTATTTTCAAGTGAAAGCTGGTAGTCTGTGTGCAGCTTACCGCAGGAATATTTTAAGAGAAAAGCAAACATTGACTCTGGCTTAGCTCCTGAAATGTTATCATCTGTTAGGTATGGTTCAGATACTCCACATTCAACAAGATGAACTCACTTAGCTAAAGCAATCACACGACAAAATTTCCCCAAACCCGTAACAAACGACACCCCAATTACCATGACACCTGACAAAGGTACCCCCGCCACAGCACACGCCTACCCGTATTTCATCACTCATACCTTACCCCTCTAAACGATGGCTTTTAAGCAATATCTTTGTGCCATTTTAAAAGGCAGTAAAACAAGGTTCTAGAATATAATCTCCATCTTTTTTTCCTTTACCTCTTCCTTCCTCTCTCTTAAATCAATTTAAAATAAAATAAAAATAAATGTCTTCCTCAAGACTTCTCCCACTGTCCGACCTATGTTCCCATTTAAGTCTTATTATGAAATAAGCTAAAAAGCATAAAGCACTGAGCACAAGTTAAAAAAGACAGTAGATTAATATTAAAACAGCCTTTTATTTGTTAATGTCACATAAGAAATTTAAGCAAGTTACACTATCTTAAAAAAACACAGCTAACGCGTTTTAAGAGAAACCCTCCCTCCCCCTCCCCTCCCTCCCCCCATACCCCTGGTGAATTATGAATCTAAGAGAAGAAGTAACCATAAAACAAAGTTTCGTGGAATCCTTCATCCAGGGTGCTTACATGATTAGGTTAATATTGCCATCTTACAAAATTTCTCTTTTCTATTAAAAAAAAAAAGTTGTAGCCATGATTGTTTATTACAAAAAAATTCAGTACAAAATTTCGATATATTGAAAAACGCTTTTCCCCTCCCTCACAGCACCGTTATATGTAGCAGAGAATAATCAAGAGCAGATTGCTAATCTATATGGAGCAATCTTCAAATTATGCCCAAACACACAGTGGTTTAATGACCCTCCCTCCCCTTCTCTTCTCATAAGAACTTAAAAAAAACAAAACACATACAAAAAATGTCAAAAAATTTGAGGGACCCTTTCCAAACAGTACAGTGAGTTCAGTGTCAATAATTCACATCTTGCAACAAAGTGTATGGATATGACTTCTTTTACAAAACTTTCAGTGTCAAAAAAGGAAATTAAGGCCATCATTTCGCAGCTTAAAAATTCACATAAAGGAAATATAAAAATATTCTGTGCTTCTGAGAAGGCTCTGCACTGTATGTAGGTGAGGATTACCGTCCTTCTTCACTTTGAGGAAGACAGTCGACTTGAGAAGTTCACATAATTGCACAGCTTCTATTGGTTGCTCGAGGGGCTCCCTGATGAGGAAAAGAGAAAGAGAAATTCGTGCTAAGAAAGTGGATCACAGTATTTTAACGAGAGATGCTACAAATCCGTATCTTCAAGTGGACCCTCATCATTTCTCACTTATCCTTTTTCATCCGTCCCTTAAGGAATTCTTCCCCAGAAAACTCTAACAAATTCCAGCACCGTGATTCTCAACTCCGGTTACACTGAGGAGCTTAAAGAAAATAAATTCTGATCTAAGTCCCTAGATCAATTAAATGAGAATCTATTTATATAAAATGGTAAAGTTCCTAAGGGATTCTAATATGCAACCAAAGCTGAAAACCTCTGTCCACTAACTTCCTTTTATAACTTAGGAAAGAGATTGATGGACTCCATTCTGAACGACCACATCAGAGAACAACACGCCGGCTGGCTCCTCAACATCCCCGTCCCGAAGCATTTGCATTGGGTCCATCTTCAAATGTGAAAGTCATAGAAAAACTTCCCGTCAGCCTGCAAGGCCACTGAATTCGTTCACCACTGTGAAGTCCAACTAGCTGATCTGTCCTTCCATCTCCCGTCTTCTGAACCTTGATATTATTTTCTCTGATCACAAAAGCTAAACACCTCACACATCTTTAACTTCTATGTTCCTTCTCTCACCCTCAAGTTCAGCCACTGAGCTTAATGAATCTGCATTTTAATAGTTCCTCAGGGCCCTGGCCGGGTAGCTCGGTTGGTTAGAGCGTCATCCCAATACACCAAGGTCAGGGCACAAACAACAATCAACCACTGAATGGAATGCATAAGTAAGTGGAACAACAAATCAATGTTTCTCTCCCTCTCTCTCTCTATTCCTCTCTCTCTCTCCCAACCCCTTCCTCTCTCTCTCTCTAAATGAATTTAAAAAAAAATAGAAGGAACAGTCCCTCTGTACCTCTGCAATCTCCCTTGTAGTCAATGCCTCTGACATTGTTTCAGTTTCCCCTCTGCTTCACAATGTGCAGCTACTACTTGCCTGGGTGTTCTACCACCTTCAACCTTGCCTCTCTCTCACGCACGCCCTGCAATACAACTGGATGCACAGATACACCTCGTGTGTGAGTCTTGGCATGCCCCCTGGTGAACTAAAGATCACCACAAACTCCCTGCCGCGCCTCCCCTAAGGAAAGAGTGGAGATGTTGGCCCTCACCTGGAGCCGGCCTTACAACTGCTTTGGCCGGGAGAATACCTGGGCCTAGCCTGTAAGGGATCCGGCGCTCTTTGTTTTCACCCTCTTGGAGGGTGCTGCCAAGTTGTAGAGCTGGGGCTGAACTACTGAACGATGAGCAGCCACATGGAAAGAGATGTGAGGGACATTCCAGCCCCAGCCAAGCTCCCAGCAACTGCTTGATTAACTCAATCTCCATCACGGGGAGCAAGATAACCTCCCACCTGAGCCCAGTCAAACCACAGAATCATGGGAAGGAAAAAACCATTGTTTTAAGCCACTAAGTTTTGGGGTGGTTTGTCAATGTAACAAGAAATAATTCAAACACCCTCAGAACACGATCGTCTGCCTCTCCTGCCCCAACAATTGCCCGTCCCTCCAAACACTGGGCAAGCAGGTTTCCCCGAGATCTCAGCTACTCCGGGGCCCTGAGAGCTCTCTCCAGCGGCTGGCTGACTACCACTCCCGCTGAGCCACCAGTCTCGCCCCTTCAGATACCTGGCATCGTTATTTTACTCCCAGTCATTGCAACGTTTCATTAAGGGCGGGAAATGGATCCCGAGCTTGTTTCTTAGTGAAGCCAAGTCTAAAGTATCTCTTCTTCAAGAGTCCCTGAAATGTATGAAGTATCCAGGCCAAAAGTTCATGCTACCTCATATAACCCACCTCCAGTGGTTCTCCACCATGGGGACTACACACGTAAGGTAATGTTCGTTTGGAGTAGGATTGGGACTCATAAAGCAAAACGAACAGATTTATAAATCTGGAGACAGTCTTATGAAAAGAGCAGTTTTGATGAATGACCAGACTCAAACAGCTTGAGAATATAAACTGAAGGCTCGTTAGTTATTAGTAATTCCAATTTAATTAAAATCAAATTTGGAGCTTCTTTAAGGGCTCTCAAAAGCCCAAGCACCAGCTAAAACCTATCTTGCAATTAGATGATTAGGAACTTAATATAGCAACGAGTTTGTTTCGTTCTGAAGCTGAATATTGCTCTTTGTTATTTTTTTAAGTTTACATGCAGATGCTTACTCTAATTTAGTGGTGTACACTTCTCAATCACAGAACCCTTAGGTAAATAATTTTGAGCATGCATTCTAATTACATATGCTTATTTATAAGTGTCACACATGTCCTACCGTATTATGTACATTAAAAAAAGGACAAAACTGAAATTGGATATAATGAGAAAATGTTTTACAAAGGCACGCCAACACTTGTTGCAGTTCCCTGATGTACTCTCCTGAGGATCTCCTCAGGAAAAGCAGCCCCCATTGTATATCACTGTTCTGGCTCATCAGGCACAAGGGAAAACCCAAACTCCACTACTGGTTTCGGTTTTCATGTGATTCCATTCATAAAATTTAAAACAAATATATTGAAGTAATACCTGCTGGTGGAAAAGTTCTTCCTCGATCGCCACTTCAGCTCCTTCCTCCTCCTCCTCTTCCTCTTCAGGTATGGTTGTTTTAAAGACTGTACTTCTTTGAGCAACCTCCTAAAAGCAAGAGTAGTTTGATTTTAAGTTGAAACCACACGTAAGTGTAAGAAATAGCATTCCTACATCAGGGACTTTGTTTAAAGTGGCTCATCAGTAGCTTTAGCTACTGAACAGGAATTTTTGCATAATTAGAAGCAGTTCTTAGATCTTCAATATTCCCTGCAGAGAAGCTTCTGGTATCCAATTTGAAATGCTTGCTGAGAAGGTCCCACTGCTTCGTATCCCATTCTGTTACTCCAAATTCTGTAAATGATTTGGCAGATTGAATTCTTACAACCCTCCACGTGAATGCAGAGTAAGGCTCTCACTTGGCTCCAGCAAAAAGAAGGTGCTAAATAAATGCTGAATCAAATGAAGTTGGAGCCCTGGCTGGTGTGGCTCAGTTGGTTGGGCATTGTCCTGTGCACCTAAAGGTTGTGGGCTCCATCCCCAGTAGGGGAGTGTGTAGGAGGCAGCCAATGGATGTTTCACTCTCACATCAATGTTTCTCTCCAACCCCACCCCGACCTTCCTCTCACTCTATAAATCAATTTTTAAAAAATAAATATTTTTTTTAATGAAGTTGGAGGCCAGCTGCTGTGACCTCAGGGGCCAAGGCAGCAACAGGACTCCCTGATGAGTGAGAAGAAAAGGACGAGCTCCTTTCATTCCTTCAGCAACTGGCTCCTCTTGAATGACATGGAATCAAGACCAATGAGCACTGTTTACTAATAATAACACTAGCAAAGTGCCAGTGTATTCCACACGTAAAATGGACCACCCGTCATTCACCGTCCGTGGGACAGAAGTAGCCATCCCATTTCCTACTGCCTTTCCTGTAGGGACTGCTGACTCGCAGACACAGCAGTGATTCCATTTAAGCTCCAGGCTGGCAGGGGGAGTGAGTGCCCGGGAGGCTCGGAGCACCTAATTTACGCTGTCCCGTGTCCTGGCGTCACTCAAGCACGATAACGCCTTTACAGGAAGAGGAAGGCGCTAACATGATGTCAGCGAAAGCTTATCTGAAATTTAACACAGACCAGCTAGTTTAAAGTGGCAGAGGAAGAAAGCCACAGTGTCATAGCAATGAGCTTCCACGTTAAATACATCCAAGGATACAGTGTGTGAGTGAAGTGAGGAAGATGGTAGCATTTTGTAGGAATTTTGATAACTGGCAGGGCCAGGAAAGATGGGCCATTTTGAGTCTCTCAATTAGCCGGAAACTTCGATTCTGTGAGATTGGTCTATGTCTACACAGACAAGGAGCCGTTTCACAAGTATCTGCCTGCTTTAACCAAAGTATAATTTAGATCAATTACATTTCTTGGAGCTGAGCTATCATTTGGGAGATTGTGGCATACATACAAAACAGAAAAGATTCTCAAAAAGCTTTTGAAGTACCCAGCTTTCCTCAACTCATCTTAAAATAAGGAAGGACTTTTTCAAAATCTGTTGCAGATTCTTCACATTCTAGCTTCTGGCGGCTGAGCTATATAGCATTTACTGTTTTCCGGGATATAACTACTCATTTGTTATCCGAGGAGCCGATGGTTAAGTTATATCTCTGTATACGGAAGTAATCATTTGCAGAGATAAATTTCGGTTGTGCCTATATTCTGCTAGGTACAGAGAGACTGCTTTATTTTTTATTTCCCTCATACAAAGACATTTTATTTTCTATGTTTTTAATCATCCAACACTCCCTCCCTCAATTCTCAGTCAGAGCCCCAGTTTCACTGGACACCCCTCTCTCCCACGGAGTGTGACCCCGTCGTGGAGGGGGAGGGAGGCTCAAGCTCCAGCTCTGTCCTCCTGGCCCCAGAACTGGGTTAGAGGCGGGCACGTGAGCCAAGCTGGCACAGTAAGACACGGGAAGCCGCTCTTTCCTATACCAAGCCAGCTCCAGGGGCGGCCGGCAGCCACCCGGAATCCACGAGGGAGACAACGCGGGAAGCAGAGACAACAGGGGGACCCATGGGTCCAGCCCACTATCTCTGGAGTTTGGGTTTTGTGAGCCCACGCATCCCCCTTCTTTGAAAGCCAGTGTAATTGGGTTTTCTGACATTCTCAGTGACTCAGCAAGAAGAAAACAGGCACAGAAAATGAAACTGACTTGAGCCAATTACCTTCAAGGTTACAGAAAAGTGGTCTTTATGGTGATGAATACAGATCGTTGCAAACAGATCTGGGACCTGCTACTAAACATAGTCTTGTGCAGAATTAAATAGCTGACAAAGTCCTCGTGGCAGTCACAGAAATCAGTAACTACGTTGTGATACCGCCCTTGCTGCTGACAGAAGTCACTAATAGGGCCTAGCAAGCAGGAAGCAATCGTTTGTTAAAAAAAAAATAGACAAACCAACCAACGGATCTGACAGTCAGTGGTCTAATTATGAAGGGAAACCCGAGCTTCTGTTCGCTTCATGGAAACGTCACTGAGGATTCCATCTCAAGACCTCTCCCAGGCTCCGGCACCTGCTTTATGCACGTCCTCGGATCTCTGGTGTGGGTTCTGAACCTGCTGCATCCCAAATATCCTCCTATTAAGATTACTTCTAACTTGGAACACATTTTCACACAGAAAAGAACGCTATGGGTGGCAACTAGATTCCACGGCTCACACGAGCCGATTTCATCTGCCTTATAATAGTGCTTTTCAGTCTGAGCGAACCACCGCTCCTACATGTTTTGAAAGAGACGTGTACTCTGCCCATTTCAGGGACAAAGAAACCACCAGCCCAGGAGCTACAGAAATCCGAGCACTGAGGCGGCAGCGGCAGCGACCGCTGGGAAGGACTCCAAAGTGCTGCAGGCAGCAAGCCAGGGCTGCCGCGCGGAGAACAGGAGGGAGACCCGCACCTGGAAGCCTGTGAATTACTGAGGGCACTCCCCTACCCAGAGAACCCAGCAGGCATTTGGAGGTGAGTTTCCCAGATGCACCCCCAAAATTAACACAACTGAGGTCTACAGACAAGACAGATGCCTTCCATTCCCAGCCTCGGCCTGAGGCGAGGGCACTCCCCATCCTGCAGCGGGTTCCTTGCGTGGAGCAGTCTAGTCATCAGCGCGCTCACAGTGAAGGAGGATGGGAAGGGGGCCGGCACAGACCTTCCTATGCAAATGCCTCGGCCCCGTGACAGCGCTGTTAATCATTTTATTTCTCTGAACTTAAGTGAAGGTCCATGTTGGAGTTTTATAAAAATGTATCCAGGAAATTCTTACTGAGTGCCTATTATGTGCCAGGCACAATGCCAGGGAAAAATGAGAATAGGTCCTTGCCCTCAGTGTACTTACTACTCTAGTGAGGGGCCCATCTGGCCAGCGCAGGCCAGGGCACGAGGCCTGCACCTGGCCCTTGAGGAGAGAAGCAGCCCCTGGGACACTGGGATTTGCCTGAGACCACTCCCTCCCACAGACACATGCACTCATGGGTGTGTGTGTGTGTGTGTGTGTGTGTGTGTGTGTGTGGTGGGGGCACCGGGTGACTTTACCTGACATTTGGTGACTTTACCTGACATTTGGGGATGGGTAAGGCGCTTTGACAAGAATTCTAGGACTGACAGCAGATCTTCAAACTCCACACACACTGACAGCTAGTGACAAGGTTGGTAACATTAATGTTCACTAGAGGCCAGATGCTGTTCCAAGCACCTCCCAGAATTGTCTCATTTCTGCTGCTCTCATTGTATTAATGTTAGCTCACTTATATTGCCTTATCTCCATTTTAGAGAAAACTAAGCAAGTGAAGGAAGCTGCCAATGGCACACAGCCATGTGCGTGGAGACAGCGGCTTGGCCAGGCTCACTGAGCCTCTGCTGTCACCAGTCAGGGCTCTGACACTCATACTGCGTCCCCACGTCTGAAGTCAGCGTCTCCTTGAATTACATGGCAGCCCTGGTCTGATTTAAGCAACAGTCACTTTTTGATTTCTGCAAAGAAATGACACTTGCGTGATGAACTTTGAAGTGGACATGGTAGTGGTGCTGATAAAATGAATGGCCATACCTCTCCCTGAGAATTTCTCAGGATGACCTTCACGTCTTCGCCAGTTCCCCAGGAGTTCTGGTTCTTCCAGATGAGGTCGGTGGGAGGACTGGCTGTGACACCCGCGTTTGCAGCCCAGATCTGGAAACAAAACCAGGACATCAGTCTACTCAGAACCCATATCCGCATGCCAATGACAGCAACATTATGAGGAGAGTTGAACACCCAGTAGGGCTGATTCTAAAGGCCTTGGACCTGTGCCCTAGCCCCAGACCTGCTGTATTAACTGGAGAACCCGCAGAACTTATCTGGGCTTCAGCTACCTCGTCTGATAAATGAAAATGATGTCACAGGGCTCGGAAGTCAAGTTGCCTACATGCATATGCTAGCTCCTCTGCATGTCAGCTACCCTCGAGAAAGGGACCTTACTTTTGTCATCCATAAAATGGGTGACAAAATGGTACCTAGAAGATGGAAATTTTTGTCCAGAACAAGCCATTACCCACCCACACGGAGTGGCTGGCTTGCTCAGTGAATCTGAGCTCTCACTGTCAGCATTCTCTTAGCTCTGTGAGCTCATGTGAAGGGAGCCTTCTGACCCCTCCCACAGGACTGTCCTCCAGCTGCCTGCAGCAGGAGTCAAGGAGAGGACTAACTGCTCTCAGACCTTCTGGGGGAGATGGCCTATCGAGAATGCTCGTGGAAAGTGGTATGTCTCCCACCAGGAACTGTGTGAAATGGAACTCCAAACAGATACAGGAATGTGACTGCTATTGAAACAGGCAAAACAAAGAAAACAATCACATTCCCCTTTCATCAGCATGAAAATTCTGCCATATTTTTAATGTACTTATTGGCAGAAGAATATGGGTAAAGTGGAGAAAACTTTAGAGTAGAAAACGTAGGTGTGAATCCCAGACACGTCACTACACCTCTACACCTCAGTGTCCTCACCTGTAGGGCCATGATGCCCTGTCCTGATCGTCCTAAAAACCACATGAAAATAGGAAAGTTCTCTACCAGTAACTTGTTTTACAACACAAAGGGCTATCTGATGGCAGAAGACTGGAGATGGTCTAGGCCAGTATACTTTCAAAGGTGGAAAAAAATCTATGAATTGCTGATGAGGAGCCCTTCCTCTTTAGATCCCACTTGCAGCTCCCAGGTCTTCCATGGGCATTACACATGGAAAGGGCCAGGGGGCATGTCCTGGGAGAAAACTGGAAAAGGAATGCATCTGGGCAGACTTTCAGATTATGTGGAATGATAGTGTTTTCCTAATTGCGAGCAATACTTTTCACTAGTCCACATGGAATCGCATGGTTGGTTGCGTGTTAATAATAATCATAAAATATCAGCAATCTTACTGGGTAATTTATCCTAAAAGTAATAAATATGTCCTCGAGCCGAGTTACGCAATATGGTAGCCACATGTGGCTGTGAGCTCTAGAAGTGTGGCTGGTCCAAATTGAGATATGCAGGAAGGACATCAGTTGGAAGACTTGGTTCGAAAAAGTAAAATATCTGACATAATTTTTTATATTGATCCCATGTTGAAATGGTAATATTTTGCATATATCGGGTTAAATAAAATGTAGTGCTAAAATTAATTTCGCATCTCCTGTGTAGTTCTCTTATTTCTGTTCTAGAGTTTTAAATTCATCTTTGCTATCGCCTAGTACAATTTTATAGATTAATCACGTATCATGACCATGTTCCAAAGAGCTTCTTCTCACGTTTCATGCTACCGACTAGAGAAAAAAATGTATTCCAGTATTTTATAGGACAACTGGCTACTCCCCTAGTCCTACAGAATATGTATCTGTTTAGTCCTGCAGAACTATATGCAGTGGAAATGCAGTGATTGGCATAATGGCTTCACATTACTTTAAAGAAATAGAGAGCACACTCAAATCTGAATCTTATGAATTAAAATGTTAGATGCTTTCCACCACATTATGCAGCTTCCATAAGACAAATAATAAAAAACTGAGCAATTTTCTCACTATAGTAATTACTACAGGGAGGAAAGGATAATATAGTTAGGGTATTTGTTCCCATTTTTACCCATGATTATAAAATTAGCATCTGATATTTTCACAATGTGGCATCACGCTCTATGAATACACTTTTAAAAGAGAAGTTCTAACCTCTTGAGCCTTTGATCTTAGACACTAAGGTTTATATCCATCAAAATTTAAAACATGTTTAATATTTTTTAAAAGAATTGATAAAAAGAGCCATCTTTACATTCTTTAGGATGAAAATAGTAACTTCTTAAAGATCTCTATCAAAGCTAACACATTGTTTGCTAAAGCTACTTACTAAGCTAGAGCAAAGGAACCTTGTGCTTGACCAATGAAAATTCTCTAAAAATGAGCAAATGATATTTAGTAACTAGTGAAGATGTGAAGATGCAGTGTTTCAAACACAGCAATAGAGAACCATTTAGAATTCAAAACAGAATCAGAATGGCACAGAGCCTTTGATATTATGTAAAAGCCACGTGTAACTTTTTTTGGTAAAATACTATGTTTAAAGGAGTGGCTCTTGAAGAGCCTATCACCTAATGACTTCTGTTGAGAACGTAAGTAGTCCCTATCTCAGCCCTAGAGATGGTGGCTAAGGTGCGTGGGGCCTGGACACTAAACACTGCCCGGATTCTGATGCTCATCTGAGACTAAAGGCTGTCGCTGTAAGGCAGGTCCCAGCATAATAAATAGATGGTCTTCCTAACGGTTCTCTATGCCAAGCAGTATCTCCTCAAGTGCCCTGGGCTACAATTGTCAGCCAGGGGACAGCTGTTTTACATCTACTCATGTAGACAAAATAGAAAGACTTCATAGGTCAATTCTTTCACTTCTAATAGACAACTGCAGCTCTCAATAACACAGAACTTTTAAACTCTTTAACAGCATGTGTGATTTCCTAATAACGTAAAAATGTTTTAATGCCCGTTTCTAAAATGCTTCTCTTTAAGCCAATCATTTTCCTGAATTACTTTTTTAGGTAAGACAATGAAGTTAACTGATGACTAAAATCACTTACTGTAACAGTCTGCCCTGCCTTCAGCACATATCTTGAGGTATATTTGTAACTGACTGATGTGTCTCCAATTTTTCTGATCATCTCCCAGCCTCCCATTGGTTGATCCTATTCAGAGAAGAAAATAAAACAAGGTCACTTCAAATGCACAGAGAGTCATGGAATAATCAAACCAATGAGTCTATATAGGAAGTTAATCTAGCTTTATGGCTGACTCCCATGATTCATATTTTCCTATTATAAAAAGAAAATATGGTGCCCTGGCCAGTGTGGCTCACTTGGTTGGAGCATCGTCCCATACACCGAAAGGTTTTAGGTTCAATCCCCGGTCAGGGCACATACCCAGGTTTTGGGTTCCATGCCCAGTAGGGGCACAATCAGGAGGCAACCAATTGATGTTTCACTCTCACGTCGACGTTTCTCTCTCTCTCTCCCTCTCCTTCTCCCTCTGTCTCCCTCTCTCACCTTCTCTCTCCCTCCCTCTAAAATAAAGAGATAAAAAAAGAAAAGAAAATATGGCTTCGTCATTCATCAGAACAGCAACTTCAACAACGCTGCAGATTAAATGTGAGCAGAAGTGGTCCAGATGCATTAGCATTCGTTCACTCATTCATTTAGAGAGCAAATATCTAAGTCTGGCTCGTATTTCCTTCTTTTCATGAAGTTAATGGCTGTGAAAGAATGCCCTCCATTTACACCCACACTCCAAGTTTTTCAGAAATCTCGCAAGGGTAGGGAGTAATGATAATCCATCCTTGGGAAGGGCACTGTGACAAAATGACAAGGAGTGAACAAAAGCCCTGGCTCTTCTGTAAAGAAGGGCTAATGAAGAAAATCTTCAAACCACCTAGCGCACCAACTCCTCTCCCCCCTCCTGGTTTCATTTATACTTTCTTCATGAATGTAGGTGAAGACCACTAAACCCAAGTAAAGGCTGAGGAGCTATTACAATTGTAAGATAGCCCACCAACCAGCAAAGTCTTGCTGGGGGAACAGAGGGGGCGTTGTTTTTTACCTGCTCGGAAGTGTTCTTCAAGCGGATAAATTTCCCGTCAACATCTATCTCTTCGATACAGATGTTTCCGGTGGCTGAGGCGGAATGAGAGATGCTAACACTGCTGCTTGCCTCGGATTCTTCCACGTCCACTCTCTTCCGTTTCCCTCTAGTTGTGCGCACGCTGCGACTTGAGGATGCTCGTGAGACTGTCACGCGGGAAGAAGGGCTCGGCGAGAGCTTCAATCTATACAGGAAAACAATGCTCCGCTTATGAAACACACTTCCCCTCCTGCCTTAGAAATGGATATCGAAGCCCTGCAGGTGCATTTCTAGAGCAAACCATGACTGGCGATCTGTGAGACCAAGCCGGTGCACATCCTAACTAAGATGAACTTCTCTGCGCTAGGATCTCCACCATCATTTTTCTTTAGAGTAACAGTAATTTGAATGTTCTCCCCAGGAACTGAATATAACCATAATGCAGAAGGCTTGGGAAACGAGAGGAATTCGCCCCATCGACCATCACCCTACACAAACACTGTTATATTTACTGTACTTTTTAAAATCTTGTCCTGCCTGCATTTTCTTTTTTACAAAATTATAATCACAAATGTATGCAATACTGAAATTGAATGGCTTTTTATTCTAAATCAGATGCTTTTCCATTGGAACTTTTTTTCTGAGAATAGGTGTTAAAAGGACTTATACACTAATCCTGATTTGAAAAATAAGTATAAAGTCTCTTTCAGCAAATCTGATATTTTACAACTTATTAAATTATCAAAACATTTTAAATTTCAAAGGAAAGACTTCATCCTGACACAGTTCAGCATTTATAATAATAATAATAGACTGCTTGAGCCCCAGTTTTTGTTGCTGAGATAGAAATATGTTCTATTACTATGAACATTTCAACACCTAGGTGTTAAAAGAAATGACAGAAAAAATATTTAAAGTTAACCTTGTTTTAAAATATAACCCAACCCTATTTACTCTTATTTAAATAAAAAGGGTGGGGCAAAAAGCAGGCTGCTCACCTCTCCTCTTCGCCCTCGAGGAGTTTCCTGTAAGCGCTGATCTCCATGTCCAGGGCTAACTTCACGTCGAGAAGTTGTTCATAGTCGTTCAGCTGCTGCTGCATCTGGTCCCGGATTTCTGCCATCTCCCTCTCCTTGTCAGACAGCATGCGCCGCGAGTTGTCTCTTTCTTTAGCAAGCAAGTCCTCCAGCTCTTGAATCCTCTCCAAACAGGCTCTAGACTGCAGATTCAAGGGAACACACTGACTTTCGAGGAACATTCCCACATTAGCACAGGCGGCTATTTTAAACCACGAACCATTGCCTGGGTAAGGGAGCAAATAGAACCCTAAGGAATGTCTAACATTAGAATGCAAGAGATTTTGATTTTAAGAATTTAAAAACCAAAATTCCTCCAATATAAAGTGCTGCCCGCAGGAAATGCCTTTTAAAAAGATATAGCCATCAAATGTCATAAACATACCTATAATTTTTCTGTATTTGACCAAATAAAACAGAATTCTAAACTATGGTTTTCATGAAAGTCACGTCCGGCTCCCCTACAACCCTTTTAGCTCAGAAGTATAAATCAACAAAAGTAAAGAGCTAAAAGGTAAGAAACTTATTGACAAAAGAACACACAGGGGTGGGTATGTCTGAGAGTTGCTGGAACTATTGGGGAACTGTACAGGGACTCTGGTTGTCCCTTTAGGGAATGTGCCCCTGTGGGACTGCTGTGCTCACCCAGCCCACAAAGACTACACAACACAGTGTGCTCTGCCAGATATTATTGTAAATATAAAAACTTCACATTTGGTATTTTTAAAAATGAGAAATTATACATCCTATACCAGGAAGTTCATCCTAGAAACCTTGTGGCTCACTAGGTAATTATTCCTCTATATTGCTCCAAGACAGAATTCATCTCAGCAGCCTCAGAAAGTGGCAAAGGCAATCAATTCAAAAAGACTGACGGACAGCTGAGGCCCTGGGAGTCCGGAGATAAAAGGAGCGCTACACTGTGCAGACACACTGCGCTCTACAAGGGAGATTTATTTCTCACAGGGGAGTGGGTAATAAATTGTGAAACTGCTTTATATGTATACTGGGTTTCAACAAGCAAGTAAACAGGATAGAAGAAACCAGGTTTCTTACTCTCAGAGAGAAAAATTACAGATAAACGAGAAAGGGAGCCTAAAATGAACCCTGGGGTACAGGGTAGGAGTCAGAGACATCAGTATGAATTTGTATTTAGCTTAACATAAATACAAGTAGACAAATAAGTGTGCAAACACAGGTTAGCATACATTCATGGATGACCTAGCTCTGCCTGCAGGAGGGAGCTCCGTCTCATGTGCATGTTCCCTTCTCCAGCAAGGAGAACCAGGGCTCCTGGGAGAAATGGCAGACCTGAGGTGAGGGCAGGGAAGATACAAGATGAGCCTGTAGCACCTCAGAGCACCAGGAAGTAAAGAAGTACTCCCAAGTGGGGGGCATGGCAACCCACCCGAAGAACTCCTACTGGCCGAAGCTGGTAAAATAATGTAGTACTGGATCATAACCCAACGAATAAAATATCCATGAGTCCACCCTGATGTGAGCCAATACATAAATGTGCCAATAAGGAAGAACTATACCTCTACTTCAGAGCTCCAGTTAATAAATGTAGACAGGCCACCTCAGGATGTGGGGCTGAATCCCTGCCCTTCACCCCTGACAGCTCGAGAATGAGTGTGGGCAGGGAAGAACGGTAATCTGGCTGTGGAGAAACCTGGCAAACCCCACTTTACCCAACTGTGAAGGTTGATGTCACACCAGGGATGTCACGTGGATGTCACGTCGTCCCTGATGTGATGCAACAAGAAGGGCACCTACACCCATTACCCAGGCTAATCAGGAGAAAAGCACCCGATAAACCCAGATTGGGGCACAGTCTACAGGATGCCTGCTAGTGCTCCTCAATCTGTCATGGTCATAAGAACAAGGGAAGCCTGAGAAACTGTCCCAGACCAGAGGAGACTGGGGAGACGAGTTCCCTGGGGCAGAAAAATGATAGTAACAGAAGATGTAGTGAAGCCCAAACAGTCTGGAGTCTAGCTACTGTCAGGTCTTAGTTCTGACCATGAACAAAACGCTAACAATGGGGGCAACGGGGGGAGGGAGACAGGCGAACTGTCTGGACCATCTTTCCAACTTTTCGGTAAACCTAGAATTACGCCCCCCAAAAAAGTTGTTTAAAAAATAACCAATCAATCAATTAATTACAATTCAGAGCAGCATCTAAAATTCCGTATCAGAAGCAGGCCTTCATCATAATAGTGATACCAAACATAATCCCTGCCTCTGAGAGCTTGCACTTAGATGCATTTGCAAAAAAAAATAAAAAGGCTATAAACTGAGAAATACATTTTTTCCTCTCAGGTTTCTTATATGATCTTTCCTCTAAAAGAAAAATATACATTAGTCCAAAATGTCTCTTCTTCGATGAATCTCTTCACCTTATTTCCATGTGGGAGGTAGACAGAACGGACAACAAGGTGGAATCTAAAGGGGCTGATGAGACATAAAGTAGCCAAGATTCAGGGAGAACCTCTGCGCCCAGATTTGTAAACCCTGAAACGCCCCTATGTGTTTGCCTTTGATGCTCCAGAGTTCCTTAGGGGAGAAAAATCAAAATGTAGGATAAAAAGGTTTTAAAGTTATTCTGAATCATTTTGTAGTTTAAATAGAAATATTTAAATTCTATTTTAAATAGCTGCACTGCATCTGTTATGTAGTGAAATACATAGAACGGGACATGAGAAGCAGGCCTAGATTCTCCCTCCCAATCCTGCTGTTAGCTGCTTAGGAGACCCTGGGCACTCACTAACCCAGTATCCACATTTGGAAAGTGAAGAGGCCTAATTATCTGTAAGATCCCACGTCTAACTCTAAAATTTTATGACTGACCTCTAATGGTCTTGTTTTTTATTTTATTTTATAGTTTGTAACAATTTATTGCACTAGTTTATTATACTCTAGTTGCAACAGCAGTTTTCCAGAGTCTGGGTGTAAGAAAAACAAAAATTAGACATGCTTTCAAAGTGCCTCTGGACACGCCTGCATACAAAGAGGCTCTGACCAACAAATTAATTTGGCCAAAGTAAAAAGTCTAGATAGAAATGAGAGAAATGCTGTAAGCAATATGTAAAATTCCTAATTCCAGTACATAATACTGCTAACATGTAGTATTTAAAAATATTTTCTAAAGTCAGCATTTTAAAGGCTATGTCCATTCTAAATAAAATTTAAGAAGTACTTCACTAACATGAGTCATAACTGAAAGGAAATTCTGTGGCCTAAGAAACAGCATGATGAAACTGATATGACTCAATAATAATACTATTAAGATGTACACCAGGAAAATATTGAGAAATGGCGTTTTCCTTTTTGATGATCTTTCTAAGGCTAAAATTTATCAATGAATGGAGATATTCCTCAAGGTATATTATTTATCATAAAATCTGATACCAGTAATGAACAAGGGAAAGGATCACCCCTCCCCGCCAACCAACAGAGAAATGTAAAACTTACTCTGCTTCAAGGATGTGCTCCTCTCCTATTCCCTAAGGAGTTAGCTCCAAAAATCCCCTGGGCCCTGCCTAACATCAGTAAAATCTACTAAACTGAAGTTAACAAAAAAATTTGCAAGGATGGGCACATAACTGATGGGCACAGTCAAGTGGATTAAACAGCAGCCAAAAACATGAATAATAAAAGCTAGGGAAATGTAAAATTGAAGGAGAAGGGACAACTGGAATGTAATTTATTAAATGGAGAAAAAGTAGTAAATGTCAAGTCAGAGTAAGAAAAAAGAGGCCTGTTTGGAAAGGTACCTGTTAAGATGCTGTAACGGAAAAAAGAGTATTAAATTCCTAAAAGAAAATCTTTGAAGAGATTGAGATCTAAAGTGAAGAACTGGACATACTTTTAAAAAAAAAAAAAAAAAGAAAGAAAGAAAAAGCCCGGCCAGTGTAGCTCAGTGGTTAAGCGTCGACCCATGAACCAGGAGGTCACTGGTTCAATTCCCCATCAGTGCACATGCCTGGGTTGTAGGCTCGATCTCCAGTAGGGGGCGTGCGTGCAGGAGGCAACCAATTGATGATGTTTCTCTCTCATCCTTGAAGTTTCTATCTCTCTATCCTTTTCCCTTCCTCTCTCTCTAAAAATCAATAAGAACATTTAAAAACAAACAAACTGGAAACTAGGAAAGAAACCCATTGATCAGTCTGCAGTCTCTGGGCGAGTTGTTAAACTCACCTAGGTCTGTGGTCAGGCTGAGCGAACTCAAAGGTCCTTCCAGCCTTACTGTTCCATGAAAACTTCAAAATACTACCAGGACAAAACAAGTCTAAAATAACTTTTATATTTATGGTGTCAGTAATAAAGTTCACATATAGGCACTATAAAAGCTTCAATTTTAATTTTTTGTATTACCTTATTTTATGTAAGTCACTGTCTGCTTTGTTTTCTAAATTCCTGCAATAAATGTTGTCAGTTTTATAATCAAGAAAAAGATTTTACTAAAATAAAAGAAAAAGTAAAGCAAAGTTTAATCAAGAATAAGATAAAGTTTAATCTGATATGGAAAGTTTACAACAAAATGTCCTCCCTTAAGGAAAACAGAAGCTGAGGTTACTTTCCAAGTAAGTAAGGTGAGCAACAGATTAATCTACTAATCTATAATAATAGAAGCATAATATGCTAATTAGACCGGATAGCTGAACGACCTTCCAGACGAAGCCGGGGCTGCCAGGGCAAAGGCAAGCTTCGAGGGCCAAGCCCCTTGCACTTATTTCGTGCATCAGGCCTCTAGTTTAGGAATAACGGTCCTGCTCAGAGGATGTTTAGCAACGCAAAATGAAAAAACCTGGGCAGCACTGTGAACGCAGACAAACTCCACCCTCTCTGAAAAGTGGCACCAGGCAGAGCAAAGCCAGGGGAACTACCCTGGTGGAGGTGGCTTCAAGTTCATCTTCAGTTCCTCTCAGGGGAAGATGCGGACTTACCTCTTTCTGCAGATTAGAAAGCTGAGACGAAAGGCTCTCGATTCTCATACGACTTTCCATCAGCTCTTCCCTGGCACTGTTGACAGAAGACGTGTTCATCTCTGACGAGAGCCTGGCATTCTCGAGCTAAAAGAAGAAGCAAGCGATAGTCAGCCTTATCTATGTGAAATGGAACAAACCAATGAGGAAGCATGATTCACCTCAAGGCATTTCATTTCAAACCTCAGCCCTGCTGGTAACTGGTTGATGAAACAGGAAGAGCATCATGAAGTTGGCTGACACAGGAAAAGTTACCGTAACTGTCTCAATGGATGAGCGTTAACAATGCTCACATACCTGGGTCTTTGCCCAACGTGTATCACTCCAATATTTTGTCCATTATATCTCTAATGTCTCAGATAATACTGCTAAAAGGAGACTGGGCAGTAGCAATTTAACCATGGTAGGAAAACAAGCATCGCATATCTCTAACCCACCAAATAATACAGAATTTAAAGAAAATAGACAGAAAGCACTCATTGATAAGGTACTTGAAACCAGATAGAAACACTTCCTTTCAGAAGCAAAAAAAACCAAACAGCTCCTCAGGTAATTCAATATCCTATTCCTCCAAATGCCCATATTTATTCTGCATGTGCTCAGCATGCTTTTATGTACGCCGCCTCTCCCCTGGCTCCCTTTGAGGCCGAAGTCTATGTGACGGACCAATCCTTATTTTGGCTCCTCCACTGCCCTGCACAATGCCTTGCACTGAACAAGTATTGGGCAACTGAATATGGGGTTTAAAGGACCTCTCCCTTCCACCAACCAACTGCTGCATCATAAAATGGACTAAAAGCACATGAACAGTGTAAGGCCATGCAATAAGAATTATTTTTCAATACCTCTATGACCCTAATTTTCTAAATCTTCACTAATAATTCTTTCTAATCAAAACATGTAACATTTACCACATTGGGGTAAAATCATTTCCTAGGAAAGCTTGTACTCGTAGGTGATTTGATGGATTTTTGCATGTTCTGCTAATACAAAAATTTTATAATATTTTTTCGATTAATAATAGTGGCAGAGGAAGAAATATCAGACTTTCCATTTGGCCTTTGTTCAAAAAAGCCCCAAATATGTGTACACGGATGCCATGGAGGTCAGAGCAAGATGCAGCCCAGCGCTGGTTTACAATTGTACGGATGCGCAGGACGGCGTGATTAGCACTTGTTATTGAAAGAAAACTGTTTTCAGATGGCTTGGGTTTTACTACTATGACATGACATGACTGATCAGTGGAACAAAAAGATAAACCTTCATCTCAGATAAAATTAGAATAATCCTACTTTCTTTTAATAATTTCTAGTAACATTTATTTAGCATGTGATGAAGGCCAGGGAGTAGTGGGTGGGGGAGGAGAAGGGTCACTAGAGAAAAAAGAGAGACATCTGTAATACTTTCAACAACAAAAATAAATTAAAATAAGAAAAAGAAAACTAGAACAGAGCAAACATCATCAGGTGACTGAGGCCATGGCTCAGAGTTTGAACCTGCCCCCTGAGGCGACTCTTACTTTGGCGTGGTAAGTCTGCTCCAGCTCCTCCTTGTACATCTTGACCTGGGCATCGTGCTGCTCGCGCATCTCGTGCAGGGCTTGGGCCAGCTTGTACTCATACTCAATCTGCCGCCCGGAATCCACCTCTACCAAGCGAGTTTCATGCTTCCTTCTGGTCTCATTAATCTCCTGTGGGGGGAGGGGAGAGTGATATAAAACCAAGTTGCTCAGCATGGCTGCATTGGTACAAGTGTGAGTGGCATCAGAGGCACCTGAAGTGTAGGCACCCACCCTTGCATCTGTCCTAGCAGGCATGTGAGTATAGCTTTTTGCCTTCATTTTCAAATGAGACGATTTCAAGGATGAAACTAATAACAGAAATGGCAGCATCTCAAGCCCTGAGAATTCTGTTTCTTTTCAGTAGCACAGCTATGAACGGCCTGGGAGACATACTAAAGTACCATACAATCATGCAAAACTATGTACACCTAATAGTAATCGTTTTTTCTAAAATGTCATATTGATGATCCTAAGGACACCTCTGAGAAAAATCCACATGAAAAGTTAAACTTGTGCGGACAACTTCAACTAGAAGATTTGTACATAACAAAACTCTTTTCTTAGACATACTAAGATGCAACAATGGGCAGAGCAAGCTAATTTACATGAGTAATTGTAAGAGCTGCTGCTGAGGTAGCAATACCAATTGATACAGAACCTTAACAATTAGCACTTTACAATCTTGAGTACTTATGACAATTCACTGTTAAAGAATAGAATGTAGGCATAATCCTTTGCTCTATGTTTTAAGCAACTGTCCAAAACTAGAATGCCTAGAAACACAAGCCTGAGAGTCAAGTTTCCATTCCAGCTTCCAGCTCTGAAAATACAACAGATCGTTCTTTAATGACAATAATTAAAGCGGCCACAAGAGGGGGATATAACCCACTGAAGTTCTTGTTCCTGTATCATCTTACTGCAAGTGTTTTCCTATGCCTTTCCTCATCTTTCTTTTAACACTTCTTTGCAGAGGAAAATGCACTGGACAGAACCAGAAAACCAGGTTCAAAAATTCTAGTTCTGCTATTAACCTCTCAGGGCTCACATCTATTTAATGAAGTGAAAAGCATGCAAATGAAAGGTATAGTTCAGCAAATGTTGAGACATAATAATAATTTTGCCCTTTGCCTCCCTACCTCCTCTTTCTGGTTTTCTCCTTCCATTCTTGCCCCTTTAACTGTTCCTAATTAGGTATACTTATGGAATAGAATTATATCTTCCATGTAAAAAAAAAAAAAGGAATATTTTAAATTCATTCTCAAAGAAGGCAAAAACTAACAAGATGTTCCCCAATGGTGTAGATTACAAAGCTGAGATGAAAGGAGTCCACGCACAGCATCAGAATAAGTAGTGGTAAATTACAAACAATTTTAACAAAACAAAACAAAAATGTCATCAACCTAATACAAAAATATCTCCATTTATAAAGCAAAACTGTCGTTAACAAGTATATGGTAGCATTCACTAGTTTACAAGGAGCTTTCACACACAATATTCCATTTTGATCTTCTCTACTCCTTGATGAAAAAAACAGCAAGTATTGGTATTTCATTTTTAAACTGAAAAAACAATTCAAGAGTTGCCCAAAGTCAGAATGCTTGGGAGAGCACTTAAGTCCCAATAATACCTATTTTAATACTCTATCATTATAAAAATGGCCATATCTCCAATATTTTTCTACAATGAAAAAAAATTAACTTATACAATAAATTCCTATTTTCAAATCATTGTTAATTATTGTTTTCAAAATTATATTACTTCTAAAAACATTTCATTATTTAACTGCATGTTTGCCCTGGGTTCATGCCAACCCTCTTCAATTTGGAGGAAATATACATTCCCCTTTCTCCAATTTTATTACTTCTTTTTTCGCAACACTTGCTGCCTTCAACCCCCAAGGTTTGACCACAGAAGGTAAGGCTTGTAAATGATACCTTAAAATATACACATATAGCTATAAATGCTATGGGTACCAGCCTTTAAGAAGGCCCCCAATGGTTGCTGCCTCCTGGTAGTCACACCTTGTGTCATGGTTGGAGTGTGAGATGGAGAGTGAAGATATACCACTTCTGGGAGTAACTTCCAGAAGATAATGAGGCCTCTGTCTTGCTCTTACTTTCTCCCTCATCGCCACTCTTGGGAGAAGCCACAGCGTGAGCAGCCCTCTGGAGAAGCCCTCGTTGAACTAATAGCTCCTGCCAACAGCCCATGAATGAGCTGGGAAGCAGTTCCTCCAGCCCAGGTGAAAGCCTGACTGTAACCTCATGAGAGACCCTGAGCATAACCATCCAGTGAGACAGCTCTCAGAATCCCGACCTCCAGAAACTGTGAAATAATAAAGGCCTGTGGTTTTAAGCTGCTAAGTTTTGGAGTAATCTGTGAGGCAGTAATACAAATGCTTAAACAGTAATTAACTGCTGTGACTAAGCCTTTATACATCAGATGAAGTAAAATCATACCTGTTTTCTCATACGCAGCCTTTTAGCAGCAGTGCCTCGAAAAGTTTACCAACAAAATTTCTCCCATTATTTACATATAAAGTTATAACAAAGCCTTTTGGGATCCCTCCATTCCTTGAAGAAGTAAAAATTATACACAGTTACCTCCTCATACATGCTTTTACGGAACTCCAGGTCCTCGGTAAGGCTCTGACAGCGATTCTCCAAGTCCACTTTAAGCAGAGTTTCATCAGCTAACTGTTTTTTGGCAGCAGTCAAGGAGACTTCCAACTAACATCAGGAAAAAGAATTGATGGGCATTATACAGCAACCATATAGTAATAAACTTAATTGCTATCGATGGATTGAATCCAACCAAGTACTGCAACTTCTATGTATTTACAAGTGTATGAGAGTCCCTCCCGATAACCTTGATCCTTAACTGTGTGTTCAGCTGCTGTCCCACCCACAGAGTGCCACGCCAAAACACCTCTCAAATCTGGTAACTGGCAACAGGAAATGAACAGAGACTTCTGACTTACATTTCAAAACTCAAGCCAAAGATGTAGCTACCACTTTCCTCTTTTCCTGTCTGCAGCGCACCGTATGACACCTTCTCTTTTCCTACCTCACATTTTGTTACGATAATGAAATAGGCTTTGAGAGCAAGAAGCAGAAGGAGCATGATCAAGACACAATGACTAAAGAGTGGAGGTGCTTTGAACATTAGCTACCTTAAAGCCATCAGATAAGCCATAAAATAATCAAAATAATTTTTTTAAATAAAAAAATAATACAAAATAAACTTAATCCATCAACCAAGGCAATTACTCTGCCGAATATGGTTCAAGAGCAGTGGTTACTGACCTGGCCGATCTGATCCTTCAGATCCTCCAATTCTACCTCTAAACTTTTCTTGTCACCAAGCGCAGTAGCCAGGGCCGCATCTTTAGAATTCAGTGCTGCTTCATATTCTCGGAGCTTCATCTGGGCTCCATTAAGATCAGATTCTTTCTTAGCGTAACTGCAAGACAAGTGAAGAAGGGCAAGACATCAAATTCTACCCCTAACTTGAGGCCTTCTCCCGCCCTGCTTAGGGGGAAACGGAAGAGGCAGTTTATCTAAAAGCTGCCCTAACCTGCTAAAATCAGAGGAGCAATTCAGGAGCATTGTATCTCAAGTGTTGGGTGGATAACAGCTTTCCCTTTCAGGAATTTCCCTGACAGAAGTCCACAGGGACCAATGCACCAGAATCCTGGTTATCTCTGAGAAAGAACACATGTGCTCCTTGTTCCTTAAAAGGAATTACATGTTTCTGTAAGAAGACTCTTTTTTTACATATATTTCTTAATCTATTAGTCAAATCACAACTCAGTTCTTCTTGTGTAAAGATGCAGTGAGGGGGAGGAATCAAAATAAAACAAAAACGGGAATTTCTTCTAACTCCTTATCGGCGATCGCATCTTACACCGTTGCCGTCAAACACACAGAGGGGCCTGCAGCCTGGAGGCAACGTCAGTCGTGGTTCTGGGTTCTATTCCTACAGTCTTACCACTAAGTTCCCCAACTGCACCTTTCAGTTTCTCATGGTTAAAATATTGTGTGGATTCCACCCAATGGTATGATGGTAAATGTTTAATAACCAACTCTGGTGTGGTGGTGGGGGCGTCGGCATGTACTAGTAGGAGACATATATGCAGGCATGTACATATGATTCTCAGACAGTTTTGGAAAAATAAATTTTATTATTTTTAATACAATGAATATTATAAACCAAGATGAATAGGAGCTGTAAATCAAGATATAAAATGAGATTAAACAAGTGAAAATAAAGTTATTATAAAAAGCAATTTTGTAACTTGGTATCATATAGAAACTCCCTTGATATAAGAACCAACTGACCCCAAGCTTGCAAGCACTTTCCATTCCTTACATAGGAGGTGACTTTTAAGACTTCCCTAACTATACATTAGGGTCTCTCTGATAGTCTGAAGAAAAATTAATTATTTCAGCTTATATTATTAACTACCAAAAAAATTAGGTCTAAATTGGGGTTTCTTTTTCTTTTAAATATCACTTTTTACTAACTGGAGTTCTCTATTATAAAATTAAGGTTCCTTTGGATATATTTTGTCAAATAATTACCCCTTAAAGAAAAGTATATTTTTATCCAAATAATTCTATTATTAATTAGAAATTAATATCAAAAATTTCAATATCTGCTCTTAATTAAAACTGCAATTGTAGATTATTTATACTACTAATGTTTGAGTGGGCTAAAAGTTTAATAACTAATAGAAATTTTTAAAATCTGTAATATTAAAATAAAGTGCACATATCTGTCCAAGGGATAAACAAATATAAAAAGATTTAATAGTATTCATGTCTTACTCATTTTGGTATCATAAAACAACTATATTCATAAAATCTCAGCAGTCATATCAGATTTTGCTTAAATCCTTTATTTTAAAAAAATCACAAGATGGCAACCTTTCACTGAAGATTTGTGGGGGGGGAAAATCAAGTATTTTTTTTTAAATCCCATGTAGTCATTAATTTATAACAAAAAAGAATACCTCGTTGCAACAATTGGCCCTAGCTGGGAACTCCACAGAACAGAATCAATGCTTGTGGAGGAGCTACTATTTTATCCCACTGTATAAATGACCAGAGCTGGGCAGGAATACATATCATAATACATATGATTTTTTAAAAATTTTATGTATTCCACAATATTTACAAAAGCTACTGGCTCAAATTACTTAACAATTACAAAATACTCTACTCACCACTGTCTAATATTTAAATCTCATATCATAATGTGGTACTTTGCAATGGCAGGGGAGTGAACATGTGCTTCCCAGAAACCAGACAGCCCACCAAGGATACTGGACACACACAAACACAACGACACGTAATATCACTCCAACTTCACGGGCTACTTACTGTATGTTCTGTGTCTTACTTCATTGATTTAATGGATATAATTAATGTACATGGTTCCAGATCCAGAATGCTAAACCACAAGTGAAAGATACTGCGCAGCACCTTGTGGAGAACAGGAAATACGAGGAGCCAAAACAATGAGGAGAGTGCACCTAATGACTGGAGTACGCTGGCTTCTTCCACAAAAATCATGACCAGCTATGACAAGGAGTGGACTAAAGGGGATGAGTAGGATATGCTATTGATGTGTGATACCTCGAGCCACCCAAGGTACCAGCTGAAATGTGATTTCAAGTTCTTAGTTACTTATACCGCTGTTATTTTGTAAAAATATACATTGTTCCATTAGATTCTTTCCTAAAGCTGTAACTTTGACATTACTGAACATATTAGGAAGATACAAATCAGCATTAGAAGTGTGTTTAAAATTGCAAATGAAAGCTAACCTTATATGCCCTGGCTCAAGGGGAAAGAGGAGGAGAGTTGGATACTACGGCTGCTTCTTGCACATTTATGTTACACTTATCATACAAGTCCGTACTTAGCTACCTCAGGACACTGAGAACTCTTTGAGGGTTCTACATAGACAATGTATAAATAATGACTGTTTGGGTCATTGTTAAAGAAACTCCCCAAATAGTCTCCCCAAAAACCCATTCTACCTTTTTAATGCTATGTAAAATATCATGTATTTTCCTAAAAATAAATAAATAAATGACACTTTTATAATCTCTAAAAGGTGCATTCCTAGATGTCTTCCCTATCATCTGCCAATTTCCAAGGTTAGATGGATAATGAAAAAATTCCTAAGATCACACCTGATCAGAAGCTGTGAGTCAGTGAGTTTTATGGGCCACATAAGCTGCCAAAATACCAAGGCCCTGTAGCAAGTTAACATCTTGAACAAGTTAAAATCTTGTCAGTTTTCTAACTGCATTATTATTTTTCATTCATTAAAAGTGCTGCAGGAAGTCCTGACCTAACTGTCAGTACGTGATCTAAGTGCAGAAACCTGCAGAACTGACATCCTAAACCACACACAGGAATTGGCTGCAGCTCTCACCTAAGCAGAGGAGCAACTGACAATGCCCAGGAACAGAGAGCAACTTACACAGGAATCCAGGGGCCGGTGGGCATTCCTCTTTGACTATATTCCATAACTGGATTTGTTCAGTGTGACTGACCTGCCTAAGGTATTCCTACCTCCAGATAAGGAGATCTTTCTGCGTTTTCACCTAAATTCAACATGTGCATCTAACACTAAAAATATGCACACTGAATATAAGTCAAAAAACATACCCATTTACTGTAGATGTTTACAGAAGAACCAATATTCCAACTGCAGACAGGAAGAGAGTTTTATAAAGTGTAGTTGACCATGGAAAAAATATCCTTGGGTGAGGATTAACAAAAATAAATAGAAGGAAAAAAATGTAGTTGATACTCTATCCTAATTAAGAATGCCCTCCCAACCCTAGCTGGTTTGGCTCAGTGAATAGAGTACTGGCCTGCGGACTGAAGGGTCCCAGGTTATATTCCGGTCAAGGGCACATGCCCCAGGGTTGTGGGCTCGATTCCCAGTTGGGAGCATCATTGATGTTGCTATCTCTTTCTCCCTCTCCCTTCGCTCTGAAATCAATAAAAATATATTAAAAAAGAATGCCCTCCCAGGCCCGGCCAGCTTGGCTCAGTGGTTGAGCATTGACCTATGAACCAGGAGGTCACGGTTTGATTCTCGGTCAGTGCAAATACCCAGGTTTGTGGGCTCGATCCCCAGTCGGGGTCATGCAGGAGGCAGCCGATCAATGTTTCTCTCTCATTAATGTTTCTGTCTCTCTATCCCTCTCCCTTCCTCTATGAAATCAATAAAATATTTTAAAAACAAAACCCCACAGAGTTACATTAAGCAATTCCACTTAAGAGACTTAAATTATAAATGATCTCTTAGTTGGCGAAATAATAACATACCTAGAAAGAGCTATATAAAGTTAGTTTCTGGCTATTAATTGCATTTCCATAAAATTTGCCAAAGATTATGATACTGCATATATAAAAAAAGTGGACGGGGCAATTATTTGTATTTAATAAATGCTTGCTCAATGAATATAATCTGTTGAAGATATCGGTGCTTAGGGAAAAATCCATCCAAGGTATAATATTGAGGTGATAGACTTAATCCTATAGCCTTTTAAAAAGCTATACATTCTAAATTTGAGGGATTTAGAAACCAGACTTAGCAGAAACAGTTCTATTAAAATTGTTATTTTTAATCATATCCACAAAGATTTTTTAAAAAATCAATTTTAGAGAGAGTAAGGGAGAGAGAGTAACATCGATGTGATTGGTTGCTTTCTGTAGGCCCTGCCTGGGCATCAAACTCACCACCTGGGATTTTGCCCTGACCGGGAGTAGAGCCCATCACCCTATGGTGAACAGGACATGGCTCGAACCAGCTGAGCCGTAGCCGCCAGGGTGCGAACAAGGATTTTTAAATCCCTCAAAACAGACCAACTCTATATGGAGAACCGGGCCAATTAGACCGGCTGTTTGAGCTCTTGGCTTTAATTTACCTTACGGTTCTCCTGAACAGCTGTCTCATGGCAGCTGAACACCACTCAACACTAGTTGGTTATTCCAGTGCAGTGATGGCGAACCTTTTGAGCTCGGCGTGTCAGCATTTTGAAAAACCCTAACTTAACTCTGGTGCCGTGTCACATATAGAAATTTTTTGATATTTGCAACCATAGTAAAACAAAGATTTATATTTTTGATATTTATTTTATATATTTAAATGCCATTTAACAAAGAAAAATCAACCAAAAAAATGAGTTTGCGTGTTACCTCTGACACGCGTGTCATAGGTTCGCCATCACTGGCCTAAACTGTCTCTCCAATCCCAGCCTCTCTTCAGAGCTCAAGAGAAGTACTCCAAATTGCCACTGACATCTCCACCTGGAAGTCCAACAAACAGCACTAACACCACTAACCCTGAGTAGGGTCCCCCAACCTGCTCCTTCCCCATCCATCTCTGTTAAGAGCAACACTATCTCTCCCCAGGCACCTAGTCATAGAAATAAT